GGAGGGGAGGGGAGGGGAGGGGAGGGGCGGGGGGAGGCGGGTGGTGGGAACGCGCTGAAAATCCGGAAGCCTGGTTCTGATTTTCTTTCGCCCTGGTCTTTGCTGCCTTCTGGTTCTCTCCTAGGCGCATTGGAGCTAGGAGCTCAGTGCAGCGACGAACCGCGTAGACCTGAGGCTGTCCGGGCGGCCCCCAGCCGCCTGCCTATTTTCTCCCTCCCCAGAATTCTTGTCTAGTCATGACGCGATTCTGGGTCTGCGTGGCCGGCGCTGGCTTCTTTCTTGCGTTTCTGGTTTTCCATTCTCGATTTTGTGCCTCTCGGGTGAGTTGGATAGTGAGGAAATGGCTGTCGGGTGTGGATAGCACTGTGGGGAGACGGTCTTGGGATGGAGGTGGCGCAGGTTCTCTTACTAGTTCATCTCAGAACCTGCACCTGGGGCCGAACCGCCGACGCGTTGCCTGTTTCTTAGCGTTAAAACGTGTGTAATATGGTACATCGCCATTTTCCTTATTTTCTCTTTCCCAGCTCCCGTTACCTCTTCACTTTGCTTTTAAAATTTCCTGGAGACCTGAGGAAGCCCTTTACCGGCTGGATGTGGATTGGCCTAAGTATTCAGAATACTTTACTGGAGCAACATTTTGTGTTGCAGTTGACTCCCTCAACGGATTGGTTTACGTAGCCCAAGTAAGTAAAATTGGGATTTTTTTTTTTTAGATTATGGATACAAAGAAAACGGTTTTCCCGTCTCACCGAACTCAGTAACTGTGTACGTTTATATTACGCCAATTGTGGAATTCGTTTTTTGAGTTAAACTTAATACTTTGGTTTTGAACGCGATAGAGATTAATATTGTAAGGTTTTGTAGACGGTTTTTTAAACGTTCCTAAATTCCTCGGTTAACCTGTAATTTTTGTTTCTCTCTGCCAAAATAAAGATTGCTTCCTTAAAAGTGATCCTATCTAAGCCGTTATTTTTGTATACCTTCAGAGAGGGGATAACATCCCAAAGGTATTAGTGTTCACAGAGGATGGATATTTCCTACGAGCCTGGAATTATACAGTTGACACACCTCATGGTATATTTGCAGCCAGTACACCACATGAACAATCCGTCTGGATCACGGATGTAGGAAGTGGTATGTTTAGTAATACCTATTAAATTATCTTGCTAGAAATCACATCTTTGCCCATGTTCTTGCTTGTCCATTTTAAAATCAGAGTGGCCGAATCTAATTGTAATTCCTTTAATGATTCGTGAAATCTCTTGTTTCTAAATCTTTATATTGTATTTCTGTAGAATCAAGACATTTAACAAGGAGACTATAATTATTATGATCTTTCCTTTAAGTTGTCACAGGGCTTTTGCCTTTTAAAATATCAGTTGCTCTTCCTAGAGTAGATAATTCTAAATTTCTTCTGTGAAGCAGAATAAAATGGCGATCTCTAAAAGCTAATGAATGGAGTCCTTGCCTTTAGTTTTCTTTTACCACTTCTCTTTCAAAAGAAATTATGCTGATAACAGAAGTTATAATAGGCTAAATGCCTAATAGTTTTAAACAGATCTCATGTGACAGTATAATGAAAAAATCTTTGACTTCAATTCTTGCTATTGAACCATATGCTTTAAAAAGTGAAAAAAAATTATTCCAGGTGAAACAAAAGAGAGTGAGATTATGCTGAGAAACTAGAACTGCTTTCTTGCCCAGAGTAGAGGATCTGCACAAACTGCTGGTAATGTTTCTGAAATCCCACTGACCTCAGCATGTCTGAAACCTTCCTTCTGTCGGATATTTTTAGTAGAATGTGCTGCAAAACAAAGTAAGCACAGTTGAACTTAAAACTGTGAGATAAGTTTTCAGAGATAAGTGCTTGTGCTTGTGGCTTAAGACAAGATGGTATAAGAGATAACCTGGTAACGTCTTAGGATCTCCGGAAGGAAAGAGATCTTAAAATATTTCTAGTCTTGTCCCAGTTATGTTCATGGCTTGAAGGTCCTTCTGTTTCCCCATTTCTGGCTAATTCAGATACCGTTTTGGAATTAAAGAGGTCTCAGTTTTTGTAAGAAGTGCCCTTACCACATCTGTTCTCAGAACCCAAAAGATTTCTGACCCTCAGCCCCGTGACCCATTTATTTAAAGCTGTATTTTGGATGGTGAGATTTTGGTTAACCCCCCAAAATCTAAGTTATCTCTGAGTTCATTGTTAGACTGTATGAAATTTGATTATTTTCCCTTTTTTTTTTTTTTTCTTTTCGGGATTCACTGTTAAAAGTTTTTAATTCGTTCCATTCATGTGATCCTTTTCTATAAAAGACTTCGCTGGTTCCCAGAAATAAAAAGAACGCACATGATCTCTTCATTCTTTCCATTATAGGTTGTTTTTCCACAACCTATTCTATTTTTCTATTCCTTCCTATATTTCGAAGAGTTAGTTCTCTTCGGTAAAAACATGGCTGCATGTCATAGCCATTAAAGAACAATTATTTACTGGTATTCTATTTCTTTTCCAATTCCTTAGAGACTTTGTAGTTTGCTTTCTTTAATGTTGTGTTCTCTTATTGCTACAGACTTTGGCTCAAGTCTCCAAAGCAAGTATAATAATACAATTGTCAAGATAGGAGTGTAATGCAAGCTGATTCACTTTATTTCCAGAGAGCCCATTGTTTCCAATTTATCATTTGAATGCCTACCAGTTAGTTGGTCTTGGTGTGCCTTCAAGTTGGTTTCTGTTAACTGCTTTATAGTTTTTCCCTATTTGTTAATATTCCACTTTATACTTTTGCTTATAAGATCATTTTAACTCAAAGAAGTTTCAGTGTGAGAAGATAAGATACTAGTGATTTGGAAAGATTTATTCCTTTCTTAGGAAAGAAAAGCTAATGGGTTGAATTTTGTATTTGTTGCCACTAGGAGAAAATGTAGCTTAAAAATGTCAGTATTGTTATAAACCAGTGTTACCGCAATTAAAAAAAAACTTAAAAAAATTACCACAAGAATAGATATAAATGACTTTTATAAACAAATAAACAGAAGTTTGTATTATAAAGAACTTTTTCAGTCACCCACTGAAATTGGAGATCTGCCCGTGAATGACTGGAATAACAGTTTTCAAATATAAGTTGTTCGTTTTCCAGATCCTTCTTAATTTTCTTATACAAGTAATGCTTATTCAAGGTCATAAGATTAAAAAAAGAAAATGGTGTACCAGTACTTTTACATCATGAGCCTTCTGTTTAAGGAGTCAGTTTTTTTTTTTTTTTCAGTTTTCTTTATTTGGATTTAGAATCTTTGGAGTACCTGAGGTTTTAATTCATGAACAGATTTGGCTATAACTAATGAAGCTCTATTGCTTGTCAAATATAACATTTAATTATCTGAGCCTTTTAACTTTTTATTGCTATTTAATTCTGTTAAATTTTTGCTCTCAGCTTACTTGAAAAATGTGAATGTTTGTACTATGGTTATATATTTGAAATGTGCATGTCTATCTTTATAGGACTCTACGGTCATACTATTAAAAAATACAATTCCTTTGGTGATCTTGTTCAAGTTTTGGGTACCCCAGGCAAAAAAGGCACTGGTTTAAATCCCCTGCAGTTTGATAACCCTGCAGAATTATATGTAGAAGACACAGGGGATATTTACATTGTGGATGGAGATGGAGGATTGAATAACAGGTTGATCAAATTGTCCCAAGGTATGTGGCTTAGTTTTGTATGGTATTATTGCAGTACTTTAAAACTGAAGGAACTTTTTGGCCAATCCAATATAAGAATGTTACTTCATAAGTTGGGTTTAATTTGTCTGGTACTCAGTATAACTTCAGTCTTTGCCTCTATCTTCACATTCCCTTCTTCTCTGTATGTCTCTGTCTCGAATCTCCTCTCCTTTCTCTTATAAGGGCACTAGCCATTGGATTCAGGGTCTGCTCTATATCCAGAATCTCCTCATCTCAATATCCCTAACTTATTGGAAATAGGGCCTTTGCAGATACAATTAAGGTCACATTCACGGCTCTGGAGCTTGAGACTTGGATATATCTTTTTCTGATGGGGCTGGGGCGAGGGACACCTTCAACTCAGTACAGGGGAATTAAATAAGACAGCCTGTAGAAACGTAATTTTTAAGCTCAGAGGAATGGTAATACCAAATAACAGGTTGGTTATAAGGGGAGCCAGTTTCAGGACAAGGTTGACATGAACCCTAAGCAGCGGTTTTGAGTTATGAAAAATTCAGGTGGAAACAGTCATTAAAGAAGCCGATTTAAAAAAAAAAAAAAAGATTAATTGCTTGAAACAGGGAAAGAATTTTTTTAAGCATACAAGTTAGTCAAATGGATGTATAAACAGAAAGCCAGGAAAGCATAATCAGCTGGGGGTATAACTGAATAGTTTGTAACTTATGACATAAAATATAACATGTAAATGCATAAGGTATTCTGTATGTTGTTCTGACCATATATGTGTATCATTTATAGATTTCATGATCCTTTGGCTGCATGGAGAAAATGGGACAGGGCCTGCTAAGTTCAGCATTCCTCACAGTGTTACAGTTGATTCTGATGGTCGGGTAAATATACAGCGTCACTGTGGACTGTCTGAATATATGGGGGTGGTGCAGAGCATGGATATATGGGCACACGGGAGTGTCTAGACATTTGGATACATGTGTATGTTAGTGGATGTGTGTATCTGGGTATGTCTGGGTAATTATTCTGGGTCTATCCACATACTCTTATAAATGTTTGGGTCCTATAATGAAGTTCCCCAAATATTTAGAAATGAGCAAAATAGATCACCTCTGTCACTTAAAGGATAGAAGAAGCAAATAATGGAACAGGACATAAGTGAAGTTACCTGAAAAAAGAAGAGTTGTGTTGAGAACGTGTTGATCAAAAGGGAGATGGAAGAGGTTAATCTCGGAAGCTTGAAAAAAGGAGTGACCAGGCACACTCTAGTTCTCCAAGTGACCTAACTCCACTCTGAGGAACAGAAAGCTTTAACCAACAAATTTCAATTTCTTTTGTTGCCACCTCCGTCTGTCTGCTGCCATCTCTTTTGCTTTTACACACCTTTAAGCATACATGTTGTCTCTTTTGGGGAGTCACCTTCCTGTAACCAAACCCACCCAAAATGTTTTATATTAGTTTCTCCACCTGTTTTCCTGTAGTAGCCCTTACTCCCCCATTATAGTAACTATCACACTGTAAGATGATGGTTAAATTGTCTCCCCTAATAAGAGTGTAGGCAGTATGAGGGCTGGAACTGCATCCCTTCTGCTTTCTATGTTAGTGCCTAGCACATAGGAGTCATCTTACATCTTTGTTAAATGACTGAATGCCTTGGTGCGCAGTGGATGCATCAGACTATCTTGGCTTCACGCCATTAGAAATTTAGTTCATTTCCACTTCTGATTCTGTGCTCAGCAAGCAACCTTCTGATTATGACTTGGCTTCCTATGTTAACAGAGAGAGAATGTTTTGATCATAAAGTCTTCAAGTATTTCCCGTTGTAGATAGGAAGATAACTGAACATAGGAACTTCGTCTGTAAATTGGGAACTGGAAAATTGGAATTCTGGTTTTGCACATTACCCTCCTGAACCTGATTAGCCACTCCCCTCATGGGATAAGAACAAGGTCAAGTTTCTGAGTCGGCAAGACCTAGACCCAGGTCAGTTCACCATGGTGAGGAATGTCCTTGGAGGTTATTTGATGGGGATCCTCTAGCATCACCAAGTGATGAAAACCGGGCGTGTTCATTTCTGGACCCTTGTGTTTTTATAACAACAGCAGCAATACTGTTGTGGGGTTTAACATGATTAACTCATTTAATCATCGCCTCAATCCTATGTGAAAAGTTTATTAGTTCCAGAGTTAGACTTGTTGTTTCTTAAACCAGGTTTCTCGTAATAAAAATCTGTTGAGTAGGAAAGATAATGCTAACAACCTATAGTGTCATTCAGTCCAAGGGTCTGAACTGTATTTCCTCCTTGGCAACTTATCTAAGACAGTAATCCCAAAATCCTTAAGGAAACTCCTCTTTAGTAAAGAATCACAGATCAGGAAAAGATCTAAGAAACAACCTTACTTAGGGATCAATATCCTTTCTAAAGTGATACACTGAGTCTTTATTTGTTTCTGACTAGAGATGTATTCAGTGGCTACCAAAACTCACACACTGACAAAGACTTAGTCAGGGTTACTCTGAAGAAATAGTCCTGAATCCACAAATCCAAGAACTCCAGGGATCCTCAAAAGGGGGAGGTAGAGGTCAGCATGTTTGGCCCATCCTGTACATATGCTGCAGGTTGCATACATCAAATACAGTACACGAAATGTCATTTAGGTCCAATCTGCCTTCCTGTTTATAACAACAGTTTCCTTAAGAACTCATGACAGCCTATAGCAAACCTAAATTAAACCTACTGTTAGCCCATTATCATGCTTTATATGTCACTAAAGTCTCCCAAGCTTCCTCTTTAGTTTGGCACTTCGGTTTGGAACTTTGGACATACCCTGGTAAATAGCAGGTAGAGGTTTAATGATGCCATACGAGTGAACAGCTGGCTTCCCACTGGCCTGGGGTCCTAAAGAGCAGGGCTGCTTTTGTCTTGTTAGCTGGCCCAGGAACCAACAAGTCAGCAGGACTCAGTGACAGCGGTTAGAGGAGGGAATGAATGAATGCTGTCACTTCTCGGTGTCTCCCCATCCTCTGCATTATAGTGGAGTACTCCAGCTTTTTAGTTAGCCAGATGTTTAGTGTAGTAGAGCATTCTAGGCTTCGGGTTAAGACAGATGGCCATACATGGCTCTCTTGCTTATTGTAAACTCTGCTTAAAACAAAGTATTTAACTTTTCTGCATTTGAATTTCTTATCTGAAAATGGGGTTTTTAATATTCTCTTCTGTGAGGTGCTCTGAGTCCTCAATGGGAGTTTATGAAACTAATGAAAATAAACATTCATTCTCTCCCCCTCTCCTTTTTCCTTTCTTTGGGTTCCCAGGTGTGGGTGGCAGACCGAGGCAATAAAAGAATTCAGGTGTTTGATAAAGACACGGGGGAGTGGCTAGGAGCTTGGAATAATTGTTTCTCCGAGGAGGGACCTTCTGCAGTCAGGTAATCGTTTCTTTTTGTTTTAAAATGCTTGTTTGATTTGGTTTACGTTAAGTGTCTCTGAAGAGCTGTAGCTGAAAGTTTAAAACATTTGCTGTTAATTTTAATCAGGGAAAAAGGAGAAGGAAAGAAGTTTTCGGAGAACATGTAAATCGTATTTCAAGTCCCAGGCAGCGCGAATGCGGCTAAACTCCCAGCACACTGTGGAATCCAAGTATCAGAGATAATAAAGCCTGGACTGTCCTACATCCTCTGCCCTCGAGATGCAGTTTATTTTTAAACAGAGAATGAAAATAAAAATCTTGAGTCTATAGTTTCAGACCCAGCCTGACACCGATTCTCCATTAGTTTCATCTCTGTGTAATATTCCAGTATTGTTAATTTTAAAAACATAAACTAATCTCTGGTTGAGTCTGTCATCACAAATCTCTTGTTCCCTGCGAAGCAGAATCAGATCAATTCTCAAGCCCCCTTAAAAGAACCCTTCAGCAAGCAGGTCCTTACTGTTGTGTAGCACTGTAGGGGATACACATGTCGAAAAAATAAACATTTATGTTAACTTTGCCCCGGTTGATTATGTGACGTGTCTTCCTCCTTAGATTTACTCCCGACGGGAAGCACTTGATCGTAGCCCAGCTGAATCTGAGCCGGCTCTTACTCGTGGCGGCGCCCCCGGTAGGAAGCGTTGGCAACTGTTCGGTGATCAGCACGATCCAGCTGGCGGATCAGGTCTCACCTCATCTCTTAGATGTCAGTGGGAAGACTGGAGCCATCTATGTAGCAGAAATTGGAGCAGAACAAGTACAAAAATATGTCCCTGTGAATAGCTGCTTCTCTTCATTTGGTTCGTAACTGTTTCTTTCCCTGAAGGTCTTTCAAGTGGAAATTCAGATTCTCAGCTTTGGGGCATTCTTGTGACTTCATTTCACACATGAGTGCCTAAGGATACTTTAATGAAAGAAACGTAACTCTAATGAGAAATGGGATGGGAAAGCGGGACTAAGGTGGTAACCCAGTAATTTGCCCTATAGACTCATTCTCGCTGGGGGTGGGGGGGAACACAGGAATAAAAATGGGTTTGCAGGATAATTTATTGAATTTCACATAAACAACACAAACCTTCACTTTATTCACTTAGTAAAAAATGAACTGCTTGAGAGATGGGGTCAGATGGGGTCTTGATTAACGAGAATCCACAGAGTGCCAGGTCCCGAAGATTCGGGAATGAGCAGGCAGGGTTGTCTGTGCCTTTGAGTAGCTTATAGTCCACAAAGCACGGCAGCAGCAGCGCACCAGGGAAGTAGGACTTTCAGAAGGAGGGGTGTTTTGTCTGAATCACGGAGACTTTGCAGGGGAGTCCGTTGGAGTTCCTCAAGCTCCGTTTGAAAAGCAGGAGGAGAGAACGACGTCCAGGTACAGACGTTAAGAAAAGTGCACGCTTCCTGTGAACTTTGGTAGACTTTATTTTACAGGCCCAGCTTGGCTTTGGTCCTTTAGTTGTAGGATACGTAGTTTCATCCTTTAAGTGTAGGAATAAAATGGCTAGCGTTAAGCATTTTACTGAAAGGGGTTTTTACAGATAACTGGAATGGTTTTTAAAGGTAGCATTAAAAATAGTTCCTCTCAGTACCGCCACCTTCCTTCCTTCCTTCCTTCCTTCCTTCCTTCCTTCCTTCCTTCCATCCTTCCATCCTTCCATCCATCCATGCATCTCTTTTTTACATGAACTCTGTCCATTTCTAACATTTGTCTACCTCAGGGAAGTTTTAGAATTATTTATGGGAGAATGTGTGCCAAACACTTGGAGCTATTAAAATGAAGAATTTCCTACCTTTCTATGTTTCTTTTTTACCCCTTTGAATATTGGCCTCCCAGTTAAGACCATTTGTCCAGTTTGTTCTAGTTCATTCTAGGTTGGGAAGGAACCTTTGCCATATTACAGTCTTTCAGATCATTCTTCGCCTTTTCTCGCATCAGCCTCCATCTTTATCTCTGTGTTTCACTGTAAATTGTATGGCAAGTGAGAAATCTTGAGCTGACTGTCCTCATTACCTGTTACGACTGGAGTCTGCTTTCCAGACCTCGAGGAACTTACACTTTTGCCATATCTTGATGCAGTTAGGAAGGTAAATCTACCAACAGGAAACCCTCTCCTGTGTTCCAAGGCCATTGATGTGTGTTTGTGCCACTGGTCAAGCTGTGTGATATAAGTGAGCTGCCTTAGTTTTCTCTTCAGTGAAATGGGAACATCATTGCCTTTCCTCCTTCAGGAAGGCTGTGAGGATCAGATGTGCAATAGGTACAGATGTGCCCTTTGAAATCTGTAGCTCCAAGTACATTAAAGTCATCTTATTAGCAAGGGTCCTACTAAATGTGCTATTTACCTGATACCAGCTATCAGTTTTGCCTTAATTTTGCATTTATTGCTTTTTTTCAAAGCGTATCCTCGCAAATTTTATGCAGTTTAGCCAAATCAACTTGGATGAAAGGAAATAATTTGAGGTTTTGTTTCCAAGCCAGGACAAGAAGTGCACATGTCTCTTTGAAAGAATATAGGTTAGATTTTGTCATTTCAAAAATGTTGTATTTAACTTTGTTTTATACCAGATTTTTATAAAACTTGCCGAAAGTATTGTTTCCATACTTGTGTTTATTAGCATACTTGTAATCATGGTATCTCACTTTTTTCCTTTGGATTAATTGGTTAAATTAATGGAATGAGAAGTGTGTTGTATTTTCTATTAAAAAATAAAAGTTTTGGAAAGAATACAATATTGTTTGATTTTCCAATTAAAGCTTGATTTTATTGTTATAAAAGCAGTCTATAATTTCTTATTGTATTGAAGGATTTCAGCAATCATGAAATCACAGGTTGAGAGTATATCCTCTTCTTTCACAGTTGGAGGGCTGAAGTGTGTAAATATTGCTAGAGGTTGCTTAGAAGACTTAATGTGGCTTTTTTTGGGGGGGGGCTCCGTTGGGTCTTCGTTGCTGTGCACAGGCTTTCTCTAGTTGCGGCAAGCGGGGGCTACTCGGACCCCTCTCTGCGGTGGCCTCTCTTGCTGCGGAGCACGGGCTCTAGGCGCACAGGCCTCTCAGCAGCTGTGGTGTGTGGGCTCTAGAGCGCAGGCTCAGCAGTTGTGGCGCACGGGCTTAGTTGCTCCGCTGCATGTGGGATCTTCCCGGACCAGGGCTCGAACCCGTGTTCCCTGTTTCGGCAGGCGGATTCCCAACCACTGTGCCACCAGGGAAGCCACCTTAATGTGGCGTTTAAAATGGTGGGTGGGTACAAATGATAGTAATAACTAGCTAACTATATTTTTGCATTAGAAATGGAGTCTCTTTACACTTCTACTTTCTAGATTTATTCTGGGGGGAAAGGGGTAGGGTGCTCTAAGTTAGAAAACCAAAGGCTATATAGGTATCTTTCTTAACCTCCACTACAACATTGGGTCTTTAAAATGGGACATTAGGCCATCAAAGAAACCATGTATGCAGTGTGACGATAAGCGAAGGAGACCTCTGTGCTTTGTGCTCACGTCATATAACAGATTAAAAGACAGCTTCAAGCAATGTGGCTGTTAAGCTAAAAGCAATCAAGGCCTAACTTTTGTTTTGCCTTCGTTGGTTTTAAAACATTGGATTTTAAAGCAGGATAGATTGGATAGCCAACATTGGAACGGAACTCTTTTTGACTTACTTCACTCTGTATGACAGCCTCGAGGACCGTCCAAGGTCAGAAATAAAGACGCAGACATAGAGGTTGGACTTGAGGACACGGGGAGGGGGAAGGGTAAGCTGGGACGAAGTGAGAGAGTGACATGGACATATATACACTACCAAATGTAAAATAGATAGCTAGTGGGAAGCAGCCACATAGCACAGGGAGATCAGCTCGGTGCTTTGTGACCACCTAGAGGGGTGGGATAGGGAGGGTGGGAGGGAGACGCAAGAGGGAGGGGATATGGGGATATATGTATACATATAGCTGATTCACTTTGTTATAAAGCAGAAACTAACACACCACTGTAAAGCAATTCTACTCCATAAAGATGTAAAAATAAGTGAATAAATAAAACTGGAAACTCAGATTTTTGCTCCTCAGACACACCAAAGTAAATCACAATCAATGAAGTCTTTTTTTAAAAGTCAGAATAAATCACATGTATTTATACAACAAAAATGTACGAAACAACAAATGTATGAAGACAATGAGGCAAACGTCTTCTGCCCTAGCAGTTCACTATCTAGGTGGGAAAACAAGCCACACAAACCCCCCTTACTTTTCAGGCTCTTTCTGGAAGTGCCCTTTGGTACTTGTGTTACATTCATGATACAAAAGAGGGCAGCAGAGTCCAGATTATGGTAAGTGTTTCTTGGAATCAGATGTGGACATCTGTTGACTTTCTTTATACTTTGCTTACATCTGAGGCTATAGTGTTAACCACACTTAATTTTTCTTCTTTTTCTTCAATTTGCTTAGATCTTGAGGAAATTGGTTTATAGGTGACATATTTTCCAAGGGTTGTTGGAACTTTCTACTGTTTTCATTGGACATTGCCATGTTTAAGAAGAAAAAAAGGTAAAATCTTTTCAGTAGTTCAAACTGACAGCCAGAAGTGAATAACCCTTTTTAACCATTTAAAACTGTAACCTGAAAGGTGTATTTAGTGCAATAGAAAATGTATTTGTGTTAGCAGGGAATTACTCCTTTTCTCCCTACTAGCTTTTTGTTGTTTTAACAATTTTGCTCTGTGGCTGCTGACTCTTTTACAGATGAGCAAAATGGATTATTTACAAAGAGACCAAGTCATTTCTCTACCACGCACTTACCCATAGAATCCCTGAGTTTATTAAGTAAGTTAATCCTCTGAACATTTAATGACATGTAGATACTCTTCGTATGTAAGAACTGAGTGGAATTTGAACAATGAAAAACAGCACTCTGAAACTTTTGTTTCTTCCATTGTAAACAATGAAATGATATTGTCATGATTTAATTCTGCTTCAATGCAATTTGTAAGGAAAAGACACCTTGTCATTCATGAAACAAGCATGCTTTGAAGTGAGCATGTTTTAGGTAGGTTGAGTCTTTTGAATAAAATCTTTTAAAAGGTAGATCAAATTGTGTCACAACAGGTTCATATCCTAAACTTGCTTCTCAGTTTTCAGCCACTTCATTCTCAGAAAGAAAATGTTAGTAGCATGGTGCATATCTCATATTTATTCTTTACCAGAATTGATTACTATAATGTGTTATGCAAATTTTTTTCCCATAGGACTTTTACGTATTACAAATGGTCACAATCACCAAATTTTTATAACATTTTTCTTCATAGTATATGTACAGGAATATTTTAATGTTTTGATATTTACTGTGTTTAAATACTAATTTTTACTTAACTAAAGGGATTTAGGAACTAATTATGTATACATTTGTTTTTAATCAACAGTAATTTTAAAAATGTATCGTTTTTTTCTTTGTGGGGTGTGTGTGTGTGTGTGTGTGTGTTTAAGTGTGTGTGTAAAGGGCATTATGCCCAAATAGTTCAGAACAACTGTATCAAAAGAATTAACTGCAACTTACCATGGCTAAATGTAAATTATATACGGGATATGGGGATATATGTATACATATAGCTGATTCACTTTGTTATAAAGCAGAAACTAACACACCACTGTAAAGCAATTCTACTCCATAAAGATGTAAAAATAAGTGAATAAATAAAACTGGAAACTCAGATTTTTGCTCCTCAGACACACCAAAGTAAATCACAATCAATGAAGTCTTTTTTTAAAAGTCAGAATAAATCACATGTATTTATACAACAAAAATGTACGAAACAACAAATGTATGAAGACAATGAGGCAAACGTCTTCTGCCCTAGCAGTTCACTA